TAGAATCCCTGTGTGTTGGAATTGATGACAGAGAGTTTTATGTTTTGTTTTTTAGGGGGATGCGAAGAATCCATTGTCAGACCACCAGGAGGTGCACTGAATATTGGGGAGCGGGTGGGGAGATTGGTGAGACCTTTGTGGTACTAGCTGTAGGAAGATACGCCCTGTGAACCCTCCTTTATAGGAGATTGGCTCATCCGACTATATTCACACTGACTCTGGCATAAAACTAATGCTTTCTCTTGTTTCCCGTTAACAGTGTCAAAATAATTACTGTATTTTTCTATGATGGCAAGTTTGAAAAGCATTTTTTTTCCTTCTGTGAGAATGGTGGCAGCCATGATGATAGGTATTTGGGAAACATATACTAAGAAGGAATGTCTGCCCTTTTGGAGGAGATAGTTTAGCCCTGCCTCCTGCCAGCCCCACTCTCACCCTGCCCCCACCTGCACTCCCCTGGTCTCTACACAAAGTCTATGATGAGTTTAAGGACCTGTTTTATTCTCCGCACACTACACATTTCAGTAACCCTGGATCACTGAAAACAACAAGAATTCTAGAGTTACTGGGCTCCAAACCCAGACCTACTGAGGTTGGAGCCTCAGTGATATGGTTCATGATGGAAAGTTCCCCTGATGATTCGGAGGCAAGGTTAGGATCTGCACTGTCTTGTACAACACGTTTGAGGAAAGAAAGCAAGTCCAGCCCCATCTCTTTGTGGGTAAATCACTGCATTCCAATCCATTAGGACTCATAGTGACCCCTAAGACAGAGTAGAACTGCCCCCAGGAGTTTCGGAGGCTGTAAATTCTTAAGGGAACAGAAAGCTCATCTTTCTCACCCAGAATGACTTGATTTGAACTGCTGGTCTTGTGGTTGTCAGCCCCAAAGAAGTGAGTGGTTTTGGAAATATTGGTAGCTATTTCTCCGTGTGGAATGAAGGTCCTGGAGCCTGAGCAGACCTTTTGGTTCCACGTGGGTCAGAGTAACTGCTTTGGGCTTTCAAGGATGGGGTTTTAGAAGTAGATTGCTAGTACTTTACCTGAGATGAATCTGGATGGATTAGAATCTCTAACAATTCCATTGGAGTTAGCCAAATTTGGTAAGCCAACTATGTTACCCATTTGTACCACGGAAGGCCAGTTCTATCTTTCCATCTACGTATATCGATACCCAAAGAGAGAGAGAGAGAGAATGCACGTGAGCTCCAGAATGGGAATGTCGATTAGAAGCTGAGCTGCTGACTGTAAGTCTGACTGTAAGTCGGGTTTTAAAGCAACGGCCACTTTGTGGGAAAGGCTGCGGCCATCTGCTTCTGTGAAGACTCACAGTCTCAGAACCCCCAGATGGAAGCTTGCTCCCAGCTGGTTTCAACGCAACTTGATGGGAGCGGTTATGTAGAAATGTGAATATGCACACACATGTATCCTTCACATTCGTATTAGATCAAATGGGGGTGGGCTTTGAAAATGAAAACACAAAGAACTACCATAAATAAGATCAGCTAAATTGTAAAACCACAGGAAATCATTTTTAAGCATCCAGATTTCTTGCAACTACAATGTCACGGAGTCGATTCCAACTCACAGAGATCCTAGAGGCCTGAGACGAACTGCTCTCTGGGGTCTCGGAGGCTGTACTTCTTTATGGGGCAGATCGCGTCATCGTTCTCCCAGAGAGCGCTGGGGAGTTTGAACCACCATCCTTGTGGGTAGCAGCCCACCTCAGTGCACTGTGCCGCCAGTGCTCCTGGATGGAAACACAAATGGGATTCTTTTGACGGAGGCTATTGGCCAACCTTCAGATATTTAAAGGCTCCAAAGACTGTGTTGGACTGTACTTACTGAGCAACTAGGCTGTAATGCTTGCCCAGTTTTGAATAACCAGGTGGTGTTCCTCATCACACCTATTTTATTTAATTCTTATAGAACCCTTCGAAATTAGAATTGTTTTATAGAGGGAGAGACCATTCTCCATGGAGAGACTGAGCAGTGTGTCCCTACCACTCCATTACAACTCATGCCACTGTAAATGGTTCACATCCATCTAAGAATAATGATGATATCTGAAGTTACAGATGTCTTATTCCTATATGAATACTATGGAGCAAGGTTTACCCACAGCTTAAACCACAGACACATCTTAGACACCACACAATCAAATAGAAGGCCAAGTGGGATGCGTTTGTGCAGAGCAAAATTGAGGAAGAGCAATCTGCTTGGACACAAAGAGAGTTTTAAGAGAACAGGAAAGAAAATATTCAGAAACATCTTTAAAGGAAATGAGTAATTGGGGCGAAAATTCAATCAGAGGAAGACGAGAGAATCCGTTCAGGTTGGGACTTAAAAGGCAATGAGGGTTCATACCAGACCCAGAAAGACTCTGAGTTAAGGTGGGTGTCTTATTAGGGGGGTGTGCCCCAAATCCACTCTGAGGGACTTGTTGCTCTGACGTGAACGTTGTCAGAGCTGTTTTGATCTGCTTTAAAGGAAAATGAGGTCTGCCCTGAAACTCCTTAAAAAAAGCAGTTCCCAGAGGGATAAAAGAGTTTCTTGCAGCGTCTCAGGCGGTCACATATTTGCCGTGGTAAGTAGAAGTCATGATTAGTTGGGAGGAAAAGGAGGAGAGAGGAGTTCAGTCTGTAATCCACCAGCTGGGAGTGGAAATAAATCACACAGATAAATTTAAACAGGGCTGGAGCAAGACAGAAACCACGAAGCAGCGATTGCAAGAGGAGTGTATGGGGCAGGGGTGTGCGAGTCTGTGTCCTCTCATGAAGATTTAACTTAGAATTAGGAGAGATCATTCAGTATATTTCACTTTCCAGTCATTTCACAGAAGAGCGATGCCGGGTTAACATGAAGGGACTTGGTGAAAGTTCGTGTACTTGAAGACAAAGCAATCCCCTGGCAGAAACCTTTGTGGTTATGTATAGCCGATAAATAAAGTTCAAGTACATGGTCTTAGTGTTCTGATCTCCTTGCTCCTGTGCTAGGATCTGGCCTTCAAATCTTATCCACCTTGCTGCCTCTTCTCTAGATAAACAGATGAAATGTTCTGGATCAACACCGTAGCACAGTTATTAAGAGAATAAACTGTGATATTACATGGCAGAAATTCACATCCTGCGCCATGTTTTCCTTATTCATGAAGGAAGGAAAATAAATGTTTACAGTTGCATGTTGTTGTCCGTCTTATTGTTAGGCACCATTGGGTAGAATCAGATTTGTGGCTGCCTCACATTCAAAGGGAAGGCTGGTCCTGAAGCGTCCTCACAGTGTTGTTACCATTGAGCCCTCTGCGGTGGCCTCTGTGGCAACCTGTCTCACTACAGGTTGTCCTCTCTTTCAGTAACCCTCTCCTTCAGGGAGCATCACACTCTTCTGGGACAGTCCGCTAAAGTTATGCAAAGGATTGAAAAAAAAAACGTTACCGTCCTACATTAAACTATTCTCATGTAGTTTAATCCTTTGTATAGCATAATGGCTATCTAAAGAAACATTCAAAGACATCTACTTAAAACATACATTTCAAAGTAAATGTTTGAGAGACACACACGGATATACATACACATACACGAGCCAGCTTCAACAAGTTTATGGAAAAATGGAATTAAAATGGAATTTTCCCATAAGTTGTTGAAGCCCCTTTGTGCGTGTGTGTGCGTGTGTGTATATATATAAAACTAAAAGTCCACCCCCCTGTCTCTGAGTTAATTCTCAATCATAGCAACAATATGTAAGGTATCTGAGGCGATAACTCTTTACAACAGTAGACGGTCTGATCTTTCTCTAGTAGAGAAGCTGGATCATGTGGGTGATTGTCCCATGCCTAAGCCATAGCACTACTATCATTCCTTTTTCATGTATGTATAATATATATGTCTCACTCATACGCTATATATACATGTATATGGACACACATATATACACACCTGTGTATATATATTTCTTAAAACAAAATTTAGCTTTAATATTTTGTAATGAGATGCAAAATATGAGATTTTAAAAATGTTCCTAAACACCTTGCATATTGAGGATACCAAGCTGTTTAGCAATGCAGAGTTCCTGCCTTTTGCAGTTTACATTTCATTGAGGAACGCCAACATGAACACAGGCATTTTCAGTGCAGCAGGTCCTGTATTTTAATAGAAGTTCGAACCAGGTCCAGTGAAAGAAAGAAGGGCATGGAACACACTGGGGAGACAAGACTCTTTCGCATAGCTAGGTCCTCCTGCAGGGTGGGAAGACAGGGCAGAGAGCCACGGACAGGCATGGGCATTCCCACAGGCAATCGCATGTGCAGAGAGCATCGGTTTGGAGAGTGGGGTCATGAAAGGATAGTGGTGGCACGTTCAGCAAAGCCAGAGTGTGGCGTGAAAATGAGGGCATTGGGTGATTTACAATAAGGTCACTACTGAAAGGTCCTGCGGATTAAGCCTAATTGAGACACCTCCCTCCTCACCCCCCTTAGGCAGCTGTAACGAGTATAAAAGGGACCTTGGTGGCCTAGTGGGCTGTAGGGATTGGGTGGCTACCAGCAGGTTAGCAGTTCGAATGTACCGACCACTCTGGGAAAAGGAGGTAGCTTTTGCTCTCATGACGACGGAGAGCCTGAGAAACTGTCTACGGGACTTGCAGGGATGCTGTGATCTCACAGCCTCCTTGACGGCAGTGAGTTTGTGTTATTTTAAGGCGTGTAAATAGCATTTACAGGTGGATTTCTTTCAGGCATAATGCTGGCCGCATTTCCACAGCTGTTCTTCTGTGGATGAACTGGGTTTCTACGAGTGCCTAATTTGGGAGTTTAGAGAACAGAATTGCCATTTGATCAACGTTGTTTTATTGGTTGGTTGGAACTGACAACGTGCTAGCAGAGTGCTGAATATAGGAGTCAGATACTGTAATATATGTTCGCTTGTGTGTTATCTAAAGTACATGAAGTGCTGGATGAAAAATCAGAGTTTGGATTCCTTAATTTTTAATGTATTCCTTTTTAAGGTCTGACAGCAGCAGCTGCTGCCGCTGCTGCTGCCACCAACGCGGCCATTGCGGAAGCAATGAAGGTGAAGAAAATCAAGTTAGAAGCTATGAGTAATTATCATGCTAGCAATAACCAACATGGAGGAGATTCTGAGAATGGGGACATGAATTCAAGTGTTGGTAAGTTTTACATACAGTGCAAGTTAGTATGGTCATTTCACCACCAGAATGCTTTCTTTCACAGAGCCAAAGGTTCGCGATCCATTGCAGAAGTTAGTTTGGAAGCCATCGTCTCTTTTGAAGATTCCACGTCACCCTCAACAACAACCCCCAGGCTAAATAATTGATCCATAGCATTATTTTCATCATAGGATCAACTTTATGCTTACAGCTTCTAATAGCAATATCTTTATAAGAATAGTTCATCAAAATGGTTTCATCATCATGAATTCCAAAAACAACTTTAGGCAAGATGAAGAAGAGTATTTTAAAGGTATCCTTTCCTTTCTTAATTTATTTGTTATCAAATTAATTCATTGGTTTTATTAAATTAGTGTCCCTAAACACAGAAACCTATCCTTTTATGTATTACCAGTAATAAAAATTACACTGGCAATTAATTTTTGTACACCTAACATTTAAAATTCTCTGTTTTTAGCAAAACAGCCTTAATACATTTTTGTGTTTTTTCCCCCTTTTCCTGAGATATGGAGAGAAAGGAAAAGTTTAGTCACTCTTAAACCAAAAGACCACGTTGTAATTTCCTTCATAGAATATTTGAGTAATCTTTAAAATTTTCACTTTAATGCAACATCACCAGTCGACTCATTTGTTCCCATTGGCGTAGTTGGGGGAAACGGTGGGTTGGTGACAAAACATCTTATCCTTCCACTACACCATATTGCTTCTTTTTGAAATGTAGTAGCCATGCTTAGTCATATCATTTGACGAAATACATTTAAATAGTGAAAGACATGTGCAAGGTCCCATAGCTAAGAGATGCACTTGAAGGACCCAGTAATTGAAGACCCTTCAGTGTAATCCCCTTATTCATGTGGCATCTGAATTGATAGTTTCTTCAGAGAGCCAGTTACTTTCTACTTCCAGTCTGTTCACACATAGTGAAGAGTATGGGAGAAAATGCTATGGGTTTTAGAGCTAATTGTCACAGCAGTTCCCTGGAAACATACACTAGACGTCTGTGCCAGGCTAGGAAGTACTTTGAATGGTGTACAGAGAACATAAAATACCTTGTTTCCAGGGATGCTAAAGGGCAGCTTCTAATGCAGACAGGGGCAGATAGGGCTTTTCAGCAGGACTCCAGAAGGGAAATAGAAATGGCTTTGATTGGAGAGTAGGTTACAAACAAGGTGGTGACAATTCTTAGAAGGATGAAAGGAGCGGGAAGAGAGCCAAGAGCGATGTGGCTAAAATCCGCGAGAGCCCAAGGAAAACACCAGTGCTTGCTTTTCAAGTACTCCTGGGGGGGAGACAGGGAGGGCAGCGGATTGCGTAGGTCATGGCTCAAACACATAAATTTAGGCTTTGAAAAGTTAAAACAATATTGAAGCAAAATGAAAGAATTATAACTCTGTTTTCAGAACTACTAAGTACACTTTATTTTAGAACAGCGGCCTTTTATTTGGGTTGGCCTACAAAGTAAGGAAAAGGTGGACACTTTTGAAAAACAAGTAATTAGCCTCTATAAATTAAGATGATCATTCGAAGGCTGGAATTTGCCTCACACCCCAAGTAGTTGTAGAAGGGTAGACCTTTAAGGTGGACTGTACTTGGGCCTCAGGACTGTGAAGAGGAAATTCTACAAATAGGCAGTCTAGTAACATTTCAAACAAGCTATAGTAAAGCAGGGTGCCTCTGTTTGGATTTCCTGAGCAACAGAACAGAAGCTGGCCTTGAGAAATCAGCAGACATAAGAAAAGGAGGTCATGGCTCCTAGTGAAAGACAGGCATACATTTCATATGTAATATCATAGAATAATATTTATTTGGAGATCAAATTCCAGTTTACATTGATTATTTCAGTATATGACTAACATAATGCTTACAAAAGGAGCCCCTTAGGTTTTCTGTATTTTCCATATAGGAAAATACTTTTCTTAGTAGGTAATTTGTGTTACATTTTACTTTTCTCAATTTTGATATGCACGACAGTTTGAATGAAGAGCAGACATTGACCAGAACTTTCCTGCCTACTGCCATCAAGTTAATTCCAGCTCACTCAGACCCTACATAGGGTTTCCGAGTCTATAAATCTTCATGGGCTAACAGAGCTTCATTTTTCTCCTGAGGAGCAACTGATGGGTTTGAACCACTGTCCCTGTGGTTAGCAGTCCAGGGCTTATCTCACGGCTCTATCAGGACTCCTTTCTCTAAACTCACTTTCAGCTCAGAGTGACCCCATAGGACAGTGTAGAACTGCCTCTTTGCATTTCTCAGACTTGAACATATTCACATTGTCTTTCTCCTGCAGAACAACTGGTGGAACAGCCTAACACCTAACCCACTATGCCACCAGTCCTCTGTAGGGCTCCTTTCTAGGGGTTTCTTAATATGTTGAGACTTTGAACAAAGCACGTGTTGAATCAAGCAGTTGCTGAGTGTGGGTTCAATCTTCCTTGGTCTGAGGGGCAGTAGAACTGCCCCTGTGGGTTTTTGGGGCTATCCATCTTTATGGGAGCAGAAAGCCACATTTTTCTCCAGCACAGTGGCTGGTGGCTTTGAACTGCCAACCTTGCAGTTAGCCGCCAACACATAACCCACTATCCCACGAGGGTTCCTCACCGCTGGTTCAGTGTTTTCAGCATGTTTTTGCTCTATTACTTTGAAAAGTCATGTAACCTCTTAGAGGTGAAGAACCCATACTTGTAAAATGGCATGTCGTGGTTTCCAAAATGTGAGAATTAAAGAACAGAAGGGGGGCTGTAAAAAAACTTGATGGAAATGTTCTGTTATCTCTTAATTTCATATTTCCATGACCTTTTCGATATGTCAAGAGTTAGTGATTATCACACTGATGGTAGCAGGTAAGGTTAGTTGCTGTTTTGCTGTGATTATTTTCCCAAGCCCCTTGAGCATTACCTCCTTCCTCTTTCTACTGCCACCAACTGGTTTTCTCTTCTTATTTCCCTCTCATTCTTCTTTCTCAAGGCCTGTGAGGGAATGTTGTACGAGCTAGCCCTCCATTTGGAGTTTGTTGGGGATTTGATTGTAGCTCATTCTAGCGTAGCAACCGTAGGCTAAATTCTACCTGTACTCCCTGTGCTGACAGTGGGTGGTCAAGATGACTAGGTTAGCAAGCAGTGCCCAGAGGATGGACTAGGTCTTCCAGGAGCACCTACAAGCTCTAGGAGTTTATGAAAATGGCCTTGAAAGAGGCTGGTATTTCAGAATACAACCTGCTCTCTTGATTCTTTCAGTTGGTCCTTTGAAGTAGTGAAAACCCCTCCAAGAGGTGCTACATCAATGATGTCCTGGATTTTCTGTCTTGCCTGCATCCCCCCACTTTTGAAGTCAACCTGGGGCTCCTCCAGTGACCTAGCCACAGGTCCTGCTCCACAGGGGAGGCTTTGCCTCTCAGGAGCCCTATCTGTGGCCTTAGTTGTAAACAAGCTTTTATTGTGCCATAAAACAGATTTTGCTTTTGCTTGAATCGTTTCGATTTGGCTTGGTGATGTGATGGGTTCTTTTATTATAGCCAACTCTCTCTGCTTTGTAATATGAATCATAAAAAAAAAATTAGCCAGAGAGAAGGTATTGAAAGCAACCTCTGACATAAACCAATAATCATTTTATATTCCACTTTTATATGGTCACCTTGAGCTCACATCTTTTCACCAGAGCGATCACTTTTGGAAGAAGTGGGGACCTCAGATAGATCCCAGTGAGGCATCAGCACACTGAGTAAAATATATGGCCATGTCCCCATTCTCCCTCATCCACAATCAATTGGATTCTTTTAGTTTAATATTTACTTGCTAAGATGAGATGCTAGTCTGCATGGTGATAAACAGTCTGCTCCTGGCATCTGAAGGTGACCTGTCAGTTCATATAGACAAATCTCCTGCTTACTGAAATGTACAAAATAAATCATTAAAGCAGGCAGGTGCTCATTCCCAGATTTAAATCACCATAGATTTATGATTTGAATTAATGCTTCATTTGGCCAAAGAAATAGATGCTGAGACAAATGATATGCACTGGTTGGGGGTTCCATGCCGTAGTCATCCTGATATCGATTACAGAGATGTCTTTGCAATCTCTTGTTCATATCAAGTACTATCTTGTGACAGGTTGGCTGATAGGAGCTACAGTGCAGATAAGAAGGAAAAATGTCCTGGATTCTTCTTAGTGGCAACACTATCCACAACATACAGACCAGATAAATTGCTTTTTTTTTTTCTTTTACTTTAAGGACTGATCTACGTAACCAGCTTAAAAAAAATGTTGCTGGTAAATTGGGACTGGGTTGGTGGAAGAGTTGAATTTTAAACCAGTGAACCCAAGGTCAATCCAACCATTTCTCAAGCTGCGTTTTATCATAGGGTTATCTTTTTATTTCTTGGCATTGTGCACCTTTTTGCTGCTGCTGTTTAATCTAAATAAAGGAAATGGAGTTTCTTTTCTAGTATTGAAGTGCTCCATAGATATGGTTAGAGTAAGAAACTCTTAAGAGTTTCAATGTGACTTAAATACTTGCTAAACCAAATATCATATCATTTAACTAATGACCAAAAAAAAAAAAATCCTCTTGAATGACAAACACATTAAAGCTTATTCCCAAGTGTCAGATCTGGTAGACTCTAGCTTTCTAAGAGGCAGGAAAAGACTGCATCTTTTACTTCTCTTAACGTTTTATTTAAGGAAAACACTATGTACACAGTTTAGAGAATCCTCGGAGGATTTGAGAGGACCTTTGCTGCTAGCTAATATCTGACTCATGGAACTGGTAAACAGCCATCAACAATAGTAGATTGCTTGCTTAGTAGGAAATGAGTTCATATCTATTCAAAATGTGATCTTAAAACAGATGTCCTGAGCAAATCTCATTGTTTAAACTATAGTCACAACCTCCTAACTGTTGTTATTTCTTGAAGGAAGTGAAGTAATCTTCAAGATTTCAGGATTTTCTCTTACTGAACATTGAGGGGCATGGGGGCAAA